ACCAGCTTTTGTAGCTTGAAAAAGCTCCATGCCAACGAAAAGAATCAGTTTTGCCTTTTCTTCATTCATCCTCCATTGAATCTTGCCGTCCAAAATGGCGGCCAATTATCACCGTAGGTGGATACCGTAATAAACAGTAATGATATTCATAGGCCACCGTCAATCTCACCTGAAGAGGTCTATATCGTATCTTGTCAGAGAGTTGTCGGTTTACACGCCTTTTAGCGGCATCTACTGTCCTGCAATCCCTTTTCCACCATTGAGTATAAGTAGCTTTTTCATACTGCTTCAACTTAGCTTCCAGCTCATCATAAGACTCAAATCGTTCCCCAAGCACGAAAGAAGGTACTTGGGGCCGAGCTTTAGCTTCAGAATGTTCGGCAGAAGAAACAGACTTTGAAAAGACAGCTGCCATGATTAAGCACGTGTGTAAACGGGCGTGGTTTAGGCACCACGTGATCATGCCGGTTCTATAAGACCTTGAAAATGGGAACCGGTACCGGTTCCGTAGCCACTTCCTTATTCTTAATCTTCTTTTTTAACAGATACTGGTCACAGTATTTATGGTTTATTATTATAATTAGTAAAGGTTATACAACGAGGTGGAGGTATCTATGGCATTTATCATACCGAGGGCCATAGGCCCGAGGTATGATAAGGCCATAGATACCGACACAGAGTTGTATAACCAACTTCTACTAGTACTATAAACAAATAGTTTACTTAGCAACAGTTAGCAACAGCAATGCATTCCCATGGTAGTTTTTGCGCGTAGCAACAGCGCACTATAACAGTTAAAAAAATAATGTCGTAACCTGAACATGGCGGAAAAAAGTGGATCTTCTAAAAGAGCCTCGCAGCTATCAAAACGAGGAGGCCCTCAACTCCCAAAGAGTGGCAGTGGCCCGCCTGGAACAAAGAGTAAGATTCCTAAAACTCCTACTAATCATGCTGCATCCAGTCCAGCGCTAGTCCACTGTGTCTGTTCTTCCACCGAAGACGTTGGACTCATGGTCGAGTGCGAGTCCTGTTCAAAGTGGTCTCATTCCAAGTGTGTCGGCATAACACAGTCTACTGCTCCCTCCTTTCCTTTTGTCTGTCCCTTCTGTGTCAAGTTGCTCTTTTCCAGATTAGCTGCTGCGGAACTGGAGATAGATGCTCTTCGTAAACAAATTTCTACTCTCGAATCTGCTGCTGAACAATGTCAGGCTCATGGTGCCGAAATAGACAGGCTTAACAATTCCCTCCAACAGGCATCCCTTAACACACGTTCTCTTCCTAGAGAGTCTGATCCCCATGATGCCTCTAACAACAACAGCAGCTCAAACCCAAATTCTAGAAGACAGCATATGCATCATAGTGCTAGAAAAGAAAAGGAGACTGATCGCAGGTACAA